AAACCCTAAACCCTAAACCGGATGACGGCCATGAGGATCCCCCTGGACGCCAAGAAGGTCGCACCTGACGGGGCATGCGTGGCCGCCGCACACCTGGCGCTCCATTCCCGCCGAGTCGCGGTAGACGGTCTTTGCACACTTTGCCAGACTGCAGATTCCATTGCTTAGCGCACGAGACTCAGAGCAGCTGTCGTAAGGACAGCTTTGCCCGCAAAGCACTCAAGAAAAACCGGCTGCGACCACGCAGGAAACTCAGCCGCAGTCACTTCCGGCAAGTGTTGCAGGTGGCCAGGCAGCTCCCAGCTTCCAGTATCGGCCACGGTGTCGTGTCAGTAGTGGCGGCCTTGGCGCTGCTTGGCTTCTTTCTTCTGCTGCTGTTCGTGACGCCGCTGCGGCACCTTCTGAAACCACCTCTGGGTCTTGAGGACCTTCTTCGGCACGGTGGAGTCTCCAGCTTGCGATGCGCTGTCCTTGTCCGCCAAGGAGCGACTCTGCTGGAGAATCTGCTGCTGTGCGAACTGTTTGGTGGCCCTTGGGCTTGCATTTGAGCAGCCTCTGCAGCAGCAAGCTGGCGCGACACAAACGGATCAGTCATCCCGCTCGCTTGCGAGGCTGATGCTATTGGCGGGTCTGCAACTGCAACCGTAAGCCCAGCTTCTTTCAAGACTTATGCCAAACGGTGTCTGGCGATGTCCAACAGATCTTTGTCCACCGTCATGGCTTCCTTCGCAGTATTCAGTGACGGGCCTCCTTTTCCTGCACGTCTGGCCCAGCTCTTTCTGACAAGCTCCTCGTAGAGGAAGGCCAGAAAGGGCGATTGCCCTTCATTCCCTCTTGCTCCGCAAGCTGGAGGACAATGTCCATGTGAGCAAGCACGGTCTCCCATGCCAGCTAGCTTGTTGCAACAGCTACCACGGCGTACTTCAAGAATGCCCCCGTCCACTGCGACACCGTGCGAAAGAAACGAGGCGATGCCGTGGCACTCATCAAAGCCTTCCCAAGGTCTTGCAGGGATGAATTGGGTGCCCGGCTCTGCAGCGGCCAATCGCCATCATCATGTAGCTGAGATTTCCCGCCAATGACATCCGGAGTGAGCCAAAGCGGAAGTGTTCCTTTCGACGTCAGGTCCACGAAGAGGAACGGCACTCGGCCAGCAAGTTTGCTTTCTTCAACATGCTGCTGCATGCTGTTCAAGAGAAGCTGCTCTGCTTGCAAGCCGAAACTAAGGCCCTCCAGGCTGACCTCCTTTAAGAGTTGGGCAACATCAGCAATCTTGCCCGAAGCAAAAATCTTCGCCAGGCCTTGCGCTGAAGCATTGGGCACATTGCCGGCTGCGACTGCCTCATTCACTTGCACCAATCGCTTGGCCTGAGAAACGGCATTCACTGCACGCAGTACTCGACGTATGCATGCTTGCACTACTAACTCCTGTGGCAACTTTGCTTGCACCTGCTCCTCAGTATAGCCTTCAGCTAACTCGGGATTCGGCACCTGCAGAGTCTCAGTGAACCACTTGGTCACTGCTGTCAACACGGCATCCCCTGGCGACGGAGTTTCAACCTTCGCCAAGAAATCCTGCCACGTGGAGGCCATGGCCAACAGTCCAAAGAAAAATTCTTGAAGGACTGAGCCAATGGCTTCAATCAGCGAGTCATGTTTGTGCCTATGCACACACCTTTTACAAGGTCGGTGCAACATAAACAAACAACAACTCAGGTCCAGGGATTTGGGGCGAGGGTAGGGATTAGAGTCTTGGGGCTTGGGTTTGGAGCTTAGGAATCTCCAAGCCCGAAACCCAAAACGGTAGGGCTTCGGGCTTAGGGTTCAACCCAAAGCCGTAACCCCAGCCTCAACCCAATCCCTACACCCGAACCTTCATCACTATGAACCTTAACCTTCAACCCTAAACCCTAGCCCTAAACCCTAAACCCTTCAATCCAACCCCAAAAACTCAGCCCTAAACGGTATCAACCCTAAAAACCCTGCACCCAACATCCGTAAATCCTAAACCCGAAGATCCGAATCCCCTAAACCCAAATCCCGAAGCCCCCTAAACCCAAACCCCTAATCCCTAAACCCTAAACCTTAAACCCAAAGCCCTTGAACCCTTCATCGCTCCGCCTGGCGGCTTCGCTGGTCCTGGGGTTCTGCGGAAGCAAGGAGCGTGGGATCCTCCTCAGAGTACTCGAGAACCTGGTTTAGGATGTCGGATTACGGTTTAGGTCTTGCTGGGGTTTAGGGCGTGTCGTGAGTTGGAGCAAAAAATGGTAGCGGCAAACAGCATGCTCGAGCACATCGTGGTCTCACGGTGGGAGGACTACTGCATTCTCCCACCCCACGCTGGTTGAGGCACAAATTTCGGGTACGATGCTTATGGTCTTAGCTGTCCCAGGGGTGGGCTGAGCCCTGAGTTTAGGGATTCAAGTGGAGCTAGGATTACGAGGTTTTGAGGGTTGGGATTGAAGTTCAGAGATTAAGGTTCCGGATTTTTGTAGGGACAGCCCCCAAATCCTAAGCCCTAAACACTAAACCCTAAACCCTACAACCAACTGTAAGGACCCCTTCCAGAGGCATGCTGAGAACTTCCCTCGTGCATTAAGCTTCGGCTCAGATAAGACGCAAAATCTGCCCTAAACGGATGCCAATATCGGGAACCCCGAAGAAGGCGTTTAGGGTTTCTAGTGCTGTTGGGTTTAAGGGGTTTAGTGCTTAGGGCTTCTCTACCCCCGAGCTGAAGCGCCTCGACAGGCCGGACAGACGGCAACATGGGACCACCCGACACCAAGACTAACTTCTGTTGGGGGCCTTAGGCTGATACCTCTGCTGCTAGCGGCTTGAGCCTATGAGCTACGCGGCTGAATCGGGTGAGTCATATGCTTTGGGTGTTTACTTGTAGGACTAGTTTAGGGCTCGGGGGTCAATTCTCATGTTCGGGTGGTGCGGCTAGGGATTTGCATGTTGGGAGCACTCACTCCTTTTCCGGCAGCCACGCCAGTAGGCTTTTGATCATGTGCGCTCAGGCACAATGATCTGAGGAGGGAACCAGTAAGACTGTACTTAAAGATGCTTCCGCTGCAACCGCAGCTAATCAATCGAATCTCGCAGAGACATCCCAACGGCCGACACCGTCCATCACTGCAAACAGGATAAGATCGATCCGAAGCATCGAAAGAAAGCACAGACAGCACTCCTCCTCACTTTCCCAACCTGGCTTTAGCCGTCAAGCTAACTGGACGATCTTTGAGCAGACCTGAGACCAGAGGCTTGTAGAAAGCGCGCCATATCTTTGGCCATAGAGACCTGCCAGTCGCTCAGCTGCAGGTGGCCCACTGTTGCTGTTGCATCTTGCAAGTAGATGCGGGCAGTAGATGTACTGGACCAGCGGCCGCGCAGGAGTGTTTTCTCCATGCTGCCATGAAGCAGGAAGTTCCATGTGGCTCCACCGCGGCGCAGACTATAAACTGTGAGCAGCCCTGTAATGTCGAGGGCCTCGATGAGCTCATAGAACAGCTTTCTAAAGAAGCGCTCGCCACGGAAGAGCAACTTGTCGGCAGGTGTCAAGCGACCACACGCCTGACGAAGCCAAAACACCGCGCAGTGTGACTCCACTACCACGAGTTCATTGGTTCCTGTCCGTTTACCAGATTTGCTCTTTCCCAGACAAAGTACAGCTTTGTCACGCAGGAACGTAATGTCTTTTCGACATAAATTGTAAAGTTCTCCAGATCTTAACATACAATCAAAGCCGATAAGCAAAGACGCACCTTCAGACAAAAAGCCCATGTGAATCGCGGCGCCTGCAAAAGCACCGACAAGCAGAGGGGAGATTGGCAGGACCCTCACAGGAGGCTCCAATCGCTGCCAGACTTTTGCCAATCGCCAGGATTGCTTTAGCTTGCCAACGCAAGCTGGTAGAAAGAACTGCAACCCCGCCAAAGCGAAGCTGACTAAGGTCTTATGCTCCCCCTCTGCATAGGCTGTTTCTATCCAACTGCAGACCGCCTCATCAAAGTTTGCCCATGTGAGGTGGATAGTGTTCATGTCAGCAAAGAACCCAAGTACCTGCATGACCGCGTTGGCATAACGAGTCTGAATCTTTTCCGAGACCATCTGGGATTTCAAACTTTTGCCTTGCCGAGTCTGCTTCCTCTGGGCTTTTTGAGTACTCGTGAGCGTCCGGCCCATCTAGATGGTATATCTGATGGGTTCGAATCTGTGGCCACGTACCCAACAGCTAGGACGACACCGCTAGCCAACACTAGCGAGTTCAACTTCTTCAGCCCTCGTTTCAGCCGTAGGCTACTGCTCCTGCCTTTGGCGATAATGGAACAGACCACTTGGTTATCAATCAAATGCAAAACTCGGCAGCGCCCATTTGTAGACTTTCTCAACCTCCACTTGAGCCCGTTAAGCACTGCCTGCAGTTCAAGAACATTAATATGTGCTGAGTGTTTCCAGGAATAACCATGGACCACAGACCAATGAAACAATGATGAGTTGATCCCAGCCCTTGGCCAGGCTTTGGCTCTGAAGGGTATTCCAACATCAAGTCTAACATCAGACCCACTCTTTTCAGCTTGTCGACAAAAGTGTTGTACGAGTTGTTGAGCCTCGAGTGTATTTCTGGATCCTTCAACAAACCGCGGATAAAGGAGCCATGAGGGTGGAGCGACAGTAATTTGCCGAACAAGATTGCAATGGTCACGGGCTTCCCTAACGCCAAGCAATGACAGCAAGGAATGACAAAGCATGACCAGCACGTGAACACATTGGGTCTTTCCCAACATCCTGCCGCCGAGCATGAACTTTTCCTCGTGACTCATCTTGTGCGGAAAAGTTCCCTCAATATACCCTTTATCGAAACCCATCAGAACCTCACGCTCGCAAAGGGAAGGCAACCTCAAAATTCCATCTGGGCTTACGATCATGTTCGCTGCCTCATAGTTTGCAACTGGTAGACGAAAGTCATCCGCCTTCCAGCGCTCCACCGCCGCGGTTGAGGCTTCTGCGAGCCCCAACGCCTCAGCAGGGGGTTTGGAACGACTTTGAGGCTGTGTAAGACAAGGCAACCACCCGTCATCGGGGCCGTTCCATTTGCAGTTTTGTTCTAGCCAGCATTCTGCTCGGTCCCGACATAAGGGAAAAGCCCACTCGATATGGGATGTAAGTTGCCTAAATCTCTCCCCCTGTTGCGGCACAGGCAACCATGAGCACCAGAAACAACGAGGACGGAGGCACCATGTGAACCATTTGGCATCGATGAAGATGGGCCTTGTTTGTAAGGTGGAGTTGAACCATTCATAGTCTGGTTCACTGCGGGGTGCAACATTCTCGACGAAATAATGCACCGGCACCGTAAAGAGGGATTTCAAAAGCCGAATAACCCGCATCAGCTCAGAAAACAGTCTTGCCTCGTGTGAGTCAGTTGCATGGGCCCCTCGCTGATAAGGACAACTTGCTCCCACTATAACGAGGTCCAGGTGATTCGCGAATGATTTTTGCAAATGCTCAACCAATTTTTCATCCACGTTGGAAATAGAACCCAACTCAATGATTCCAGGCCAACGCCTGCGTATCACTCGCTTCATTTCCCGGTTGATTTCGCAGCTTGCATAGCCCACCACTTGACAAGGCAAACGACTTAACGCTACCATCAAGGAGCCTATGTCATTGAAAAACGACATCACAAGCACACGTGGCCCCACACCACCTTTGACATCGACTGCACCAGCTGGCCGAAATTGTTGTGTATCGCCCCTGTTTAACTGTCTGAGCATACACATCCCCTCATCAGTGAGTCCCGCGGAAGCACATAAGCCGCCACCTTGCATTGACGCGTCCGAGCACGTCACCAACCCTGAATAAGGGATACGGAGCGAGCCAACGGCCAAAGGAAGCGCGCAAACCGCTCGGAGCAGTTCTCGTATGGTGATCTGATTTAATGACCGTCGAAAACGAAATTGATCCCGTGGCCAGCACCTGTCCAGTAACGAAAGTAGTGGACGGCGAAACTCGAAACACCTCACCAAACGGCCCAGAGCCATAAGTAAAGGCTTGACACCAACATAGACCTGACATAAAAGCCAAATGCACAACCAGCCAGTTTCCAAGATCTTCTCAGAAGGGGGCCCAATGTAACCCAACACTCCATCAATCTCTGCTCCCATGCGTACAACTCGAGGCTCACGCACATGTGATTTATCCTCAGAGACCTCCACGCCAACATGTTTATAGGCCTGCTTTTGTTTGCTATGTGCAGAAGAAACCGTACCTTGAACGCGCTTCCAAACATCTTTGTCAACAAATTCAGGGCAATCAAAGTCATCAAGATAAAACTGGACCCAACCACCATCTTCTGTGACCGCGGAGCTCGGGATCGGGCGATCTCTTCTCCACTCGATCTCCGCGCTGTGGCCTGCACCACCCGGCGGGACACCAAGGCCGAGTCTCCTATGCAGATGTTGAAAAAGCCCGACGGCATTGACCCAGCCCATCGGTATCACCGCAGCTGCGACGTAAACCTCTTTTTCATTTGGCAACCCCACCGAAGCCCCCGGAACGGGCCATCGGAAAGCCATAAACTTTCGCCAGACAGGAGGTAGGGCCCACGCGTAATAAGCTCCTTTCTGATCTTCGCCCGACCATAGCAACACCTGATTCGGGTGTAGATGGGCCCCCACCCACGCGGATGCACTGGATAAAGTAGCTAAATCTCCTGGCATCAATCGTTGTAAAGAGTTGCTCGGAATCATGTTCATGATGAGACGTGTGACTCTAACTTCACCTTCAGCAGGAGTGCCCTTCTTCGGTACAGCGAAAGCACCGTTCAACAATAAAGATCCTCGCACACGAAATATTTCTGATTTTGGGATCGGCTTCAGAATTTTCTTGTGAACTAAAATTGGCACAAGTTCCAACCATTCACTCCGGCTGCAGTTCATCGACGCGCTCGGCATAGGATGGGGCCACTTATCTTCGGGCAGCAATGTTAACATCGGATCCGCCAACCACTTTGCAACCTCACCCTCGGCCACATCCGCTGCCTGCAGGGTACCAGCAACGCCATCGGCCGGCAACCCCGGCAGTAGCTCCCCCACCTTCAAAGGAAGAGCGTGAAGGATTTCATCCCCCGTGTAATCAACACCCTTGGTCCTAAGCACATCCTCGGGGGAGAGTCCACATTTTTCGCAAAGGGGATTCCTACAGAAATATTGGCATAGCTCGCCCAAGTGAGCAAAGGCCTCGACTTGGCATGTGTTTCCGGGAAAATCGCTTGATGCAAATCCCGCGCCACACCAGTCCGAATACTCACCATTCATGATGGCCACCAGAAGCAACCTCCAAACCTGGAAACAACAGGCCTTCACCAGCTTTCGACACTGTTGCTTGCCCAAATGATTCAAGCTCCGAGGGTCCCACACAAGTAGTCCGGATGTTCTTCGCGAAAGATACCTGCAAAGGCGCAGCACAGCTCCAAGGGGCGGGATAGGTAGAGGTAGCACATCCCTGTCCCGTAGAGTTGGCGTGGCTGTGTTTTTCACCAGAGCTAACACTCCGGACACGAAGGCCCCATCTCGTGGGGAAACCAAAAGGAGCTGTAGCAGCGTAATGCCCAATTGCAACACACAGCGCTTATCCGGTAACCCTTCGTGCAGAAGGCCATGGAACCTTTGATCACATTGTAAATCACATCCCTCAAGCATCACACTCTTCAGCTCGTCAAACGTGCGCGCCCTCTCACCCGTCACCCGGCCAACACCGGGCTCTGTACAGGGCACAGGCTGAGAGCCGCTGTTAAAAACCGCCGGGCCACCACCCGGAACTCCAACCCCAGGTTCTGGACTTTGTTCCCAGGCGTCCGGGATCATTTTTGCCCCGGTGACCGCGCTCAGGTTCTGCAAGAACAGCCGCCTTCCTGGACTTTGTTCCCAGGCGTCCGGGCTCATTTTTGCCCCGGTGACCGCGCTCAGGTGCCGCAAGAACAGCCGCTTTCCTGGGGCCAACACCCCTAGGTCTCGCCCCTCGCCGTCTTGAAAACTCGATCCTTCCAAGCTTTCTTGGTCTCGTTCTCCAATCTCGGCGTCTGCTTCCGGGCCTGCGAAACTGACATCCTCATACGCCCTGGGATCGACTCTGTATGAACCTCCTCCTGAAAGGTGACTTTCCTCTCCTTTTTCGGCGCGGTAGGGCTCCCCTTCCTCCGTGTCAAAGGGGATCTGCTCGGTGATCGTGGCGCCTCCTTTGGTGCATCCTCCACCGGTGGGGGCTCCTCCTTCGGTTGCCTGCTGTAAAGGGGGTCGCGTTGAGGGAGGCTCATCGGCTTGAGCGCTCCCCCGCGGACTCCCTAGCCCAAAAGCTTGTCTGCACGGGCCGTCTTGTGGGCGAGGTCACGCGCGAAGAAGGTCTCCTCGGGGCTCACCGCAACCATGTCCTCGGGGATAAGCTCTAAGTAACGCCCGAACTTCTCGGAGTTATCCCTCAAAGACATCACCTGGCACTTGAACCGCTGCATCAGGATATCGCCTGCTGTGTCCACTTTGCCCTTGAGCAGGGCGTCCATAACCTGGCACAATGTCCTCAACTCTCGGTACTTGCTCTCACCTATGGTCTTCACGGGGTGTGCTGGCAAAACCATTGTCATGAGGTAACGCACCATGATCGGGCTCAGGGCCTCGGACGAGTCATCGCCTGTGATCTGCCCCAGTTGCTCTTGCATGCTTTGCAGCCCGGACAACAAAAGCTTGCCCGGCTTCTCCTCCGCAACCTTCCTGAGCTTGCGACGCCTCTGCTCCCAGCCGCCGCTGCCACCAAGATCCAGGTCATCCTCGTCGTCCTCGGCATCCCCCTCGCTGTCCTCCGAGGAGGCTTCGTCCTTAGATCCTCGGCTCCGGCCCGCCTTCACCAAAGCCTTCTGGATGGTTCGAGCCACGGAGTCCTTCTTTGATCTCTTTGGTTTGCCCTTCTCAACAGCCTCCATGGCGCGCCCGGCCAACACCGAGCCTGGCTCCTTGCCCCTGGCCTCCACCTTCTTGCCCAGGAGCTTCGCTCTCAAATGGCCCAACTTCTTCTCCACTTTGTCGTTCTTGTTCTCCTCCTTCGGGTCCTCCAGGCTGTCGTCGAGCATAGCATCCAAGGCCGTCGCCTGTCGCCTTCCCTGAGGTAAGGCCTTCCTTCGTCGCTTTACCGTAGGTCGCGGCTCCTCGGCATCAGCCTCTTCATCATGCCCCTCCTCGGCTAAATCTTCAACCTTGGGGGCTGGAAGAGCCTGCACGGCTCCAGGTCTGGCATCACGACGCTCAGGGCCTGGAGGGGTAGCCGACTTCCGCGGCTCCACTCGCAAAGGAGGAAGCCTGGCACAGCCCCAGGACTCAAGCAGATCGCTAGCGGAGTTCCTGGAAATCGGGGCCCATTTTTGCACATGAACCACATCCTTCATGGCAAAGTTCTTGCAGCAACGAGAAGCACCACGACGGCAAAGATGATGGTAAGGCTCCTTCGGTAGTCCTCCGGGCTTCCCCTTATTGTCAATGTACCACTGATAATAAGAGCTGTCAGTTCCTCGATAGGTTAAATCGATGAACATCCCATCGCTGTTCACCTCATACTTTGCTGTCACCTCGCCGATTGCTAGGCCCAGTTTCTCGAAGCGATCTCCCAAAACCTCAAAGACCAAAAAGTCATACTCAGCCCCGGCTGCTGACCGAAACTGTAACTCACCCATGGTAGCACCATCGTGCAGCTCTATGGCCGGAGCCCCGGTGTCACCTGACCGCCGCCCGTGGCCATCACCACGGGAACGACGGGACATGTAAAGTCCCCCTCTCAATGCAGCAAAACACACATCAAAGGAGCACACCGGTCTAAGGGCCACACTAAGATCGTCCTGTAAACCACAAAAGCTACAGAGGACACAACGGCGTAGCTTAAAAGTCACTACTCCAACATACATTCTGCTACGAGCCAATCTAAAGACAGTCTCTACACATAGTACCATCCCCTCCCCCCGCCACGCCAGCATTGTTACTATTTTGAGACCGGGGACAGGGCGGCTGCCTGGAAGAGGGATGGGGAAAGGCTGGGGGGCGGGCAGGGAAGGGCTGGGGGGCGGGGCGCTGCCTGTTATTATTATTAGTATTAGTACATTGTTATTGCTACCACTACTACTATTACTATTTTTGTTGTTATTATTGTTTTTATATCACCCCGGGTATTAGTCTTGTGATTAGTATTATTATTACTATGTGAGACCGGGGACGAAAAATACTAATAATGGATAATGCCTGCGGGGCGGGGGAGGAGGAGAAAAAACTAATACAGGCAGGCCGGGCTCCGTCCATTATTTCTTCGCGTGCTTCCTGAACATTCTGATGCGATTGCCCCGTGACTCGGCGCAGGCGACAAGCCAGGCAGGCCGAACGTGTGCAATTTTGTGTGGAAAATACTACCAGCAGAATCCAATCCACCACTATAGCATTGATCGAGGTAGATAGTACTGGTAGCATATCTGCCCGCTTTGCTTTCATCGTGTTTCCGAATCTGAAAGTCACGACATCCAGAGACTTCTTCTGTTTGTGTGTGTCTGCAGGGTTGGGGGAGCACTGCAAAAACAGCAATCAGTACTAACTAAACATCTGCAGGCGATACGCGCAGCTTGCTGTGATCAGCAGCAAAGCATGAACCACGACAGCCTTGAAGTTGGCTTGCACTTCCCGTTCATCGTCAAATCCAGGTCAAGCATCCAAGGCTTTCGTCTCTTACAAATCTCATTCGAGCCAAGCGTCGACCTGGCAGCAGCAGAGGATGTTTCGATGACCTCTGCCGCTCATCGAAACTGCCACGGACTGGCAGGCTCCAGCACGACTTGAATTTTGATTCTTGGAAGATGCTGTTCAGCGCTGCTGCTTGGTTCTTTCCTGCCCAGTGTCCGACCACTTGCTTCCGACGTGTGCTCTCTTCTCGGCTTCTGAAAGAGTGCAGCTATGCCGCCAATGAAACGAATGGCAGCCGAACCTGACGAGCTCCAGCTAAACGGAGTCGTGCGTCTAATTACATATGCCTGCTTCTCCTTCACATCAGCTCTTTCGTGAACTTCTACTTGGTTTATGAGGCGTCTTCAGCTCCGCCTCCTTGGCCTCCCCGGACATTTTTATGATTTGCCAGCGACAACCACCTATCACCTACTGCGACTCACCACGAGCGCCCGCCGTGACCACATGCCAGAGCGGACGGATCCCGTGCCGCTCTTTGGATCCTGCATGCCTGGGTGTCAGACACCTTTGAACCGTCAAACTAGGCCACAAAAAGGCGACCACACGCGACCTACGTGATGCAAGGAGCGAGGCGCCAGTAGCCCGAGGTCCTTCCCGAAGCTTTGTCTTGATATGCTTAGCGTGCATCTAGGCCTTCCGCAGAATGCACGCCCTTGTCATGAAAATTGTCACACGGGAGGACTGAGGACCATTCCAAAGAAGACAACTCGTCTAGCACAGGAAGACGCCCTGCTACGCAACACATCCTGTACCCCACTAGAGTCACTAGAGGTTTGTAGCACATGCTGTGGAGGCACCCTGCCCACCTGATGGCCAGCAAACGATTCCAGGGCATTTTGCACAAACGCATCTGCAGAATCGATGGTCCCAAGCAGTTCATCTAGGCAAGATGACCTGGTGGCTGAGATTTTCCCCGATTATGGAAGTGTAACACTGGAAACTGGCTCCTCAGGAGGGGCATCGTAGTGACGGAAGTCGATTTCAACATCTCCACCACGCATTTGCAGGCTGTCCGTGGTGACTTTCCAGCTGGTGATCAACGGCAGGGCCTTGGAAAAGCTTTGCTCCAAGTCCATTAGTGGGGGCGGCGCCATGACCATGGTTCCTGCAACCATGCCCAGCTGGATCTCCTCGGCGCCGATCGGACCGCTGTTAGTTTGCACCTGGGACTGCAGGCCGCTCTTGGGGAAACCGCTTGGGAGACCTCTCCCTCAACGGAAGCTTACTTTCCCAAAACATGCTGGCAAGAATGACGAGACTCAGTCGTCATCAGGGTGTTTCCCAACTTTAGCGAAAGTCGGAAGAGCGGCGTGCCTGGCTTTTCTGTCAAAGTCATGATGATGTTGCCCATTGCAGGTGGCGCTTCTGCATCCACTGCATAGCCCCTGCCCTTGCCCTTTCCTTTCACTGCCAAGGCGGCATCCAAGCTCACGGTTTCACCTGCAATGACCAACCGCTGCAAATCCCAACATCCAATCGCTGGATGGGGTGTCTTGAGTGTCTGCTTGCGTGGATTCCGCCGCAAAGACAGCTTGAAACGATCCTGGACCTTGTTTGCGCACACAGCTGGGAACACCATGGCTCCTGGCTGGCGCGGACATCCTCTGAAAGCTTCTCCGAGGCAAACATCTCCTTCCCAGAAGGTCACGGCGACGGTCGACTCATCCGTCAGGTCCAAGGCCACACCAATGACGGAACCTGCCTTCACCTGTTCCCCAAATTGCGTCCGCAAGCCACCGCTGCCGTTGCTCAGATTGCCCGGCCCGCCGAAGAAGAGGCCCTTGATCTTGTACCCTTCCAGAAAGCCATTCCTAGTGGTGACCCCGATGAAAGCACCCGAACCCTCAAGGACCTCAACTTCAAAGTACTCGGTGCCACTGCTGAAGCCCACCTCGCACAAAGCATTGCATTTGCTCCCCTTCCTCAGCTCCAATCGCACAACAAAAAGGGATTTAGAAGCAGGGGCGTTTGATGGCGTTTGTGTGTAGGACCAACTCTCAAGGAAGGCGTCTTTTCGTCTCCTTCGATGACAAATTCACCACCACCGAGGTCTTTTACTTGGTCCGGGTCGGCACCAATCCACGGCAACCGCACGAGAACCACAGTGATTTGAGAGTCTGGTACGATCTGCTCATCTGCAAGCACGCCCCCAGCGTGATTCAATTCAACGCACCTGGTCGAAAATCAGCAGCTCCAGAGATTTTGTTTGCGATATAATGACTTCGACAAGCAAGAGTGACCCCGAGTTTCCTAGGATGGAACACCAGGCCGGTGGGAGCGTTGTCCTTCTAGATATGATGCTTCCTGGGCTCTGCAACCCTTGCATTGCTGGTTTGTGGCACACTCCTGGCAGACCGCCGGCGCTCCAAAACTCCCCACACCAACCCCTCAACCATAAAGCCCCGGGCTCGGCACCTTGGGTGCTGGTCCAGTTTTTCTGCGATCTCTTGCCTGAGGTCAGCGACCTTGTCCCCTGCCGCTGCTGTGACTTCCACCTGGCCAGAGATGCACATGTGCGTGTCCTCTTCAGCGTTTTTTCAGAGGGCCTCCTTGCCAGAGGCCAGGGTCACCTGCTCAGGAAGACCATGCGATGCGCATGTGCACATGTGCACATGCCACCCAGCCTGAAGAGGCATGGCACCCCCTGGACTGCCAAGTAAAACCCTCGGAGACTCGGAGCCTTACCCTCACAGGAGATGGAAAGCCGGAGCTTGGGTGTGCAAGCGCGCATCTGTTTAACATGGCCTGGAGCGTCCAAGCAGTGACTTGGACGTGTACAACGCGACGCCTTTTTGAGCGCCGCTCTTCCATATCCGGCTTTGCAAACCTCAGAAGTCTCCGACGTCTGCCGTTCCACCGGTTCCGGCTGCGTCATCAGCTGGCTCCTCTGGCTTAGTGTCAGCACAGGCTGAAAACCGACAACCTTCGATGAATGGGGAACATAGACGTAGAACAGCAGCCTCGTCCGCAGTCTGCGTGCCCAAGGTCTGGTCAACCTCCCTGCCAGGTAGAAGGGTGTGTAGAGCCCAGAAATTTGCTCAAGTGGGACGTCGGGGCCTGAGCAGCTGGCGTGCCTCCAGGATCACCTGGACCTGCAAAGGCATGCTGTGGCAAGGCTTCGCAACACGGCAGCCCCCCCAGATTTCTGCGTATAACTAGTAACTAGTAGCACTACGTTTCTGTTTTGCCTCCGGGTTCTGCTCACCTTCGCTACGCACAGCGACGTCTACGTCCTCACGGCCAGCCAGGCAAAACGTGCAGCCAGCATCGCAGGTCTCTCTTTCAGACTCCTGGTGGCCCTCTGCCAGGTGATCGCGAAGCTCCGTGGCATACCTGCCATGACCGGCACATAATGGCGCCTACCTTGGGGTCACCTGTCACCGAGACTAGAGGAAGTCAAGTTCAATGAACTCAGAGTAGTGATTTGCAGGGTGGACGGCTTGCCATCGCTTTTGGCTCATGATGGCTCATGTTTCAAAATTTTCCATTCACACCCTCCTTTACCGAGATGGGGGGGTTTGCATTCCCCACCCTTCACATTTCAGCGTCACTAACATTCACAAACCTCTGGGTTGCCAGGTAACGCCGGCCAGCTCTGCTTCTGAAGACGGTGTCTGGCATCAGGAAGGACCGTCAGTGTGTCCTGGCGACGGCATGCTTCAAACTGTGTTCTGTAGGCCTGAGCCGGGCAGGCGTTTAAGACTTCGATCTGCTTTTTGATGTCGGCCTGAGCGGACAGGGGGATCTGGGTCCGCCCTGGGCCTGGACCCCTCCGCTCTCGCGCCTCGTCTTCGCTGCCAGCTTTCATCGCCTCGATCTTGGCGCGCTGGGTGCCCTCACCACGCTGCCGCATGCTCGTTGCCGAACAGGCGCAGCGCCAGTCTGTTCCTACTGTTTTTCGGATGGAAGGATCCTTTGACCTATACAAGACCTCGGCTGTTCTGGTACTGAGATCTTCGGGCTTCGGAGATCCGAATTGCCGCGCTTGGGCGCAGCGCCGAGCCCGTCTCCTACTACAGGCTACCATGAAATGTGGGGGACACCAGCAAGCCCAGTGCGCCACCCCAAAAAACTGAGTTGAAATCGGACGATTTCTGGAGACGTGGTGCTGTGCTTGCTGAATACTTCGGGAAACCGCGACCACCAGCAGCTGTGCATGGCCCAATGCGTGTTCTCCAGGAATGCTGAACACCTTGCAGTAGTTTCCCTGTTGTCAGTCGGGATCCTCGAAGCACTCGCCTGTGCATCTGCAAGTTAACGAATTGCCGCAGCTCATGCCAGCGCGAAGAGTTGCGTGAGATAGAAGGTGCCATTGGAGGCCCGTGCAACCCCCAGGCCGCAGAGGTTAAAAGTTCCGCGGAGATTCCTTCGCAACTTGCCAGAGAAAACAAGGCCAACTCATGACACTGGCAAAAGGAGAAGCAGTGAAGGCCTCTCGTGCCCGGGAGATTTGATCCAACCATCGACTGCCACCTTGGCGACCTCTGCAACGCCGTTGTTCAGTGCCTCAGAAGAGCGGCAAGCAGAAGCAGAAGAAAGAGCCGGAAAAACACATCGCAACTGGGGAGTTGGCCAAGTTCTCCGCTGCGGCACGATGGGCCATCGGATAGGCGCGGAAGCGCTGCTCTACACCGTCGTGACCTCGGCTTTGCCAGGTCATGGCAGTTTCGCGGTCACGTGGCACTTGCTGAGTTGTGCAAAGGTCCTAGACTAGACCTCGGTTGCAAAGTTCCAACGACTTTGCAACTGGCATGGAACTGGTGACATTGTTCACGTTAGGCTCGCGAGAGAATCAAGCTGGCAGGAAACACATTGTGCTCCGATGAGGCCCTTCGGCTTAGAGCAAGGTTGGTCCCCGCACTTGTCAACATCGACATGGAAAGCGCTTGAGTAGGATGTCCAGCACACAGAATCTCAACAGGATTGTCAACACGTCTCCGGAATTTGAAGCGAACCAAACCCTGATCTGATTTTCACTCGAGTCGTAATATCAGCCAGAGAATGGTGTCAACTGTCAATATCTACGGTCGACATCTTGGGAACATGGTTTTCCACGACCCGCCTCATATTACAGATCTCCTAGGACACGAGTAGTGTTCTATCGGTGTTGTTTTTGGATTTTGAGTGGCTGCATCCTAATGAGTGCCTGTCGAGGGCATCTCGATTACTTGAAGCCCTTGGATGTTGATTGCTTAGCAGGAACTCGCTGCTGTGGTACACCAACGAAGCACGGTTGAACAGCTGTTGCAAAACGGACTTGGCCAACTGCGAAGCTGAACATCCGAAGGGCACGCTTTTTCACTTGGGCTGCACGCTACGCTGTCACGTTTGCTGAGGCGGTCGTTTTCTCCACACGACATAAAAGTTGACCTGGTATGCTTGGCCTGGTGTGGAGAGCTGGAAATCTTATCGTACGCACTGGCTGCAGTGTGTTGTTCTGGTCCGTGCGAAATACGACGCCTGATGCCATGGGTATGGTTTAGTTTCATGGTGCGACACGGCAAAAACATAGCAGAATCATCGATGTTGATACATTGATACCAGTTACCAGTTCAAACAGAAGAGTTCCCATGGCTGCGACAGTACGAACCGAGCTTCGTGGTCTGACATGCAAGCGATGAGTGGCGAAGACTCCGCAGAAATCGAACTTTGGATCTGCAAGCCTAGCCTGTTCAGCACGTCCACAAGTTTGGCTCTCATGGCCTTCTTTCAGAAATTTGATGCTCCGGAAAACTGTTGGGTAGCAATGCATGGTCAAGTGATTGCGCTCTTTGCGTATTGCCGGGATGACATTGACTGCCGACGAATACCGAACAGCGATTTGTTGGAAAGCATATTTGAGCCAATACTCAACACCGGAACCTGGGCCTGAGCCCAATGCTTGGCTAGGCACTGCTTGGTATCTCCCTCGAGAAAAACCGTTGTAGATCATCATAGAACACAGTATCGGTTCTGCTGCGTCTGTGGCTCTGCCGCGCAGAGGACAGGACGTGCCTGCGGTGCGGCCATCTTTTAGTGACATGCGGGTACTGGTATTGTAGCCGCATGCTCTTGGATAAGTGACCCGAGCTATAGTCCCGCATCCCAGTCTTGATGCGGATGGGTGGCTAAACGGCATTGCCCCACTGGCCATCTGCTCCGCGTGCTGACGCGCAATCCGAGCAATGCCGTCGTGCCACTGCAGCGGCACTAGCCCCTGGCCAAGCATGGCAAAGCACGGATTGCGCGTGAGTGCTTTTGGACTGGCAAGGTGCCTTGGAAGCACGGTACTGGTTGGTGCCGTCCAATGCCTGGCGTGCGATGAGCTCAGGGTCCTGAGGCAAACCGCACTGGCATGTTCCAATCCTGCAGAATGCTTCAAGCGTGCGTACACGAGCAAAATCCGAGCATCCAGCATAGCTTCTGGAAACGAGTGTGGAGTACGACGTTGCAGGGCTGGCCTGGTGAGTTTGGCGGTACCTGGCTTTGCTGTGTCTTGCCAGCAACACTGCCACTGCCGTCCTACTTGTAGTAGAAAGGGCACTGATCCGCATAGTTGGGCATTCCCGCAATTGCCTCTTGCGTCCGCATTTTCTCGATGTCCGCCAAGGTGAAGTGCTGGCGTCACATGCGGTCCGAACGTAGAGCAAGGCTGCAAGCTACACAAGACCTGTGACACAGTGTTTGCCTTGCGCCGCATCTTGTGATGTGCGATTCCACAGACAATTAGATCTTGCCAGATACCGACCATTGCTGTCTGAATAAAAGGCACGCCGCCCAAAGAAAAACAAGACGATGGGCCAATTTCAATTGCAAGCTCACATCATAGCGGCATTATTACATGTGCACTGATGGACTGTTTGCTTTTGTCCGGCCCGAATCTCGCTACTATAGCTAGCAACACAAGTACCGGATACCAGCCCTTGACCTCTAGCTCTCAAAGGCAGCACTAAAACGGTGGTGTTTGCGGTACTCGTGGTAGCTAAAGTCATCAGACTTAACCATTATGATCTGCTATGAGACATCTCGACCGGAATGCTGTTTGCCTGGGCTTGCCGTGCAACGGGAGGTGGCATGGCTGGTCGCGGTGCTGCACCGCCCACGCCGGGGTTGGCCCTATGCCTTCGTGCCGCATCCTTCGTTGGGGGAAACGAAACTGGTTTGCCAGTCTGCAGTCTGCGGGTCCTCTCGGAAGCCTCTTGGGTCCTTCAGGCATGCTCGAAACAAGAAACTTGTTGGAAACCAGCGCTGGCAAGTGCTCCTTCAATCTCTGCTCTGTCAGGGCTGCGACATGTTGACGCCGACCAGAAACCCTGCAGTACCGGAAATAGATTGAAAGCAATTCAAAGCATTTCAACGGATTGTGAAGGACTATCATATGGGCACGAAATTGCCCAGCAAAATGTGTCTGTAACAAACAAAAACCCATAGACAAACAAACAACCAAAAAAAAACAATGAACAAACACACAAAAGCAAACAGACAGACAGACAGCCAGACACCCACACGCAGACGCAGACACACAGACACACACAGACACAGACACACACACACACACACCCGCACACACCCTTTTATACTTTTATGAGTCCGAGACCTTTAGGGTCTATTAAACCAGCTTTTGATATATACAATATCAAATGCCTGGCTAAATAATGTATGGCGGCTAAGTGGTACATTGCACAAACCGAAATCCAACAAGCTTTGGACCGGCAGTGATATTAAATAACATATCAGATATATTATTTAATAACGAATTTCCATGTCTTTCAAAAGACTGGCCTGGTGAGCGGCATCCACACTTGAGGTGTCAAATATCTTCTATGATATCCAGTGTTCTGATTCTCTCATGTAACCGGAAATGGATTGTTAGCAACGGCAAGCATTGGTCGAATCACAGCCATGCGGGCGGGTACAATATCTAATGGCCATTATGGTCATACATAGTAGTCTTGGATGCTGCTGTTGATGTTGTGCTTATATGTGATATATATATTAGTTCCTTACGTGTTTATTTCCTTGGAGTTGGTCTGTATAGTTCCTTTGGTGTGGGTACACTGAGTACACATCCAATCTTCCAACTGTAACATCAACCGCAACCCCCCCCCAGCCCGTTTACAAGCACTGCGACCAACAGCAGCAGCAAACGACAACAGTAGCAACAGCATCAATAGTGTTAGGAACAACGCAACACCTGCAATCAGTAGAATTAGCAGTAATCATCCTCACGTGTGTTCATAACAATACTGAATACAGCCATGCGAGTAGTAAGCAACTGTTGAAGCCATACATAGATGCAAACATTAGTGAACAAATATGAACAGCGGCAGACATGAGCAAGCATTGACCGTCAGTATCACAACAATCAGTATATGGGCATGAAGCCTGATCATAATGAGTGTACTACGTCCAGTTGTTTGCCTTGGCGCGTGTGCGTTTCCAGCCTTTTCGACTTTGCATGGTTTGCAACGCTCATATCCAACAGGATCTTCTCAGGATCTCAGGAGATCAGTCTTGTGGCTGGAAACCAGACTTTCCTCCATCGAGAGCCATCTGTTGTCCAGCAGTGTCGCCATGATTGTTATGGCGAACGAGATCTTGGTGTGTCGGACATGACTGACAGCTGGACAGTGTTAATATGTTGACAACATCAGCAACACATTTAAAACATCGAATCACAATCATGTGCACCGTTTTTCACACTGTGACAGAACACGGTCAACAATCTGATTAAATTTCTTCTTGTTGCTTCTGCCTGACGATGGTAGGGTTCTAAAGAACTAAACATGAGCTTGGCTCTGCTAGTTCGTGGGGCAGTTGGATTCCTTGCAACAGTGATGTTGCACTCTGGGCCATTTGGAAACTAATTAGTTCTTGTATTCATCTGATTGAAACGATCAGTGTCTTGAGCACTGTACAAGGTGGACCCATCTCCTGTGTCAAGTTCTGGTCCTTGGGTAACCACTCGGGTTGGGTCTCGGAAAATACATTTAGCAGTCACTGGCAACGGAATGGTTTGAATCGTCGTGTTGGACTTGCTTTAAAAGTCCGAACGACTCAGAGTGGAGCGAATTGGAGCTAGAAGAGGAACATGACGATGAGCTAGAAGACGAGGTCGCCAACGCTTCTGACTTCGACGTACTTGTCGATACGGATGTATTATGTAGTGGACTTGCGTTTGCGCCGTAATTTTCGCCGACGTTTAGCCGTGGCGTCCACCACAAATCTTGACATGCTTGAAACAAGGCGAAAAGAGATCGGAAAACAGCAAGCTGCTTGGAATCTGCTGACCACCGGACAGAACTGATGACTTGACATAAGTGGTCGGTGAATTGCAGTTTTCTGTTGTCCAGAGAGAGGGAGGGAGAGAGAGAGAGAGAGCTTACAGACTAAACATGCACTTATTCGAATTTGGTTCTTGAAAAAGCTGATGCTGCTGCTGCCATAAGATCTTCTGCACATTCATCTGTATCTTCAGAACGATGAGAGGCTGGTGGATCTGGCAGTTCAGCTGCTGGTGCCGGTCCAGTTTCGGGCACTGGAAAGGCTGCTGCAGAAGCTAAGAGGAGGGCCGGCCATCGGAACATCTGGAGAAATTGAAGGAACTGCTTCATTCTGTTCAGCCGGGGCCTCTTGCAAGAGTCGATCGATCCACCGATCAGCTTCATCTTGTTGACCATGACTCTTGTGTTCAGGAGCTAGTTGTTGCTCCTGATAGATCGCTTCCTGAGCTTGCCATCGGCGCTCGGATGAAGAAGCCTCCGTGGGGGCTGGGTCTGTGGAAGATCTGGGCTCTCCCTGCTGTGGGGACTCTTTTGAGGGTTTGTTCCACTCTCTCCAGTCGTCTTCAAGAGCTAGGATTGAAGTCAATCCAGCAGCAGGTTTTGAAGTTGCTGTAGGATCAGGAACTGCGCTCTGCTGATGCTCTGTTGGAATATCAGCAGCATCTAACGGTGCCAGAAGCCAGACACAGTCGATTCTTGCAGCACAGGCCTTATGGCCCACCGTCGGTCCGAAGACGGCGAATGGACAAGGGGGTGGTACTTGCGTACGTGACTTGCTGCGAATGTGAGCATAGCTCATGTAGCCGCCGAAAAGTATTCCACAAGAGCTTTTTGTGAATGATGCAGTTCACTGACGAATTGTTGTACTCCTTCCTCCAGTCAGGTTTATCACTGACTCTTCCGTAAAATGAGAACGTATCTCCTTTTGGGAGAATGGAGGCTACCTCTATGTCGTCCTAAAGCAAAGATCCCGATGGCCTCGTTGTGGTCTGTTCCATGAAGCCAGGTTTGCCAAATTTGGTGTTGCTTCGGTGGAACGGGCATATGCTGAAGTGGAAATTTTTTACACAGTGACTTTCTGGATTTCGTTTGTCCAGTGCATAGCCTCCTTCAAGACATGATCCTCATAATCAGTTTTGCTTCGATAATTTTCTTGAGCTAACATTCGCAACTTTGTGAGTCGAGTAGAATGTGCTGAAGCAGGAACAGGAAATCTTCACTAAAGGAATTGAATGCAGAAGTCCATTTCTGTAGGCTTGATTGACTCACTCGCTCTGATCCATTTTCGGACGAGGACCCGGCGTGCCTGGACTGTCCTAGCACAGACATAAGGAAAAATGGGTCAGCGACGTGCGTGGTGGCTTTGAAGGCAGCGGGCCACCATGAAACAGTACTGAGACTGTGACGTCAATCCAGACTTAACATATTCGTCGGCACGGAGGCCAGGAAGCAAAGGTTCCAACTGTGCCAAAATGGCGTCAAGATCGGCATCTTGAATGGCTTGAAATTCATCAGCTCCACCTGTTTGTGCAACTTTTGGTTGCTTTGGTTTGGCAACATGAGTCTCCTTAAAAGTTGGTCGTGATGGGGGCTGGCTTGGCCCAGCAGGCTTCTGATTACCAGGAGCTGTTGGAGCAACCTGACCAAATGATTGGATTGCCACCGGTGGTGCTGGACAAGCTCCAAGGTGTGGCCGGAAAAATCCTATAGGTGTGGTTGAACAAGACCTGGTGGGTGAGGAGGTCCCGGAACGACAGGTGGAAAGTGAGGTGGCGGTGGCGGTGGAACAACAGGTGATGGTAATGTAGGTCGACCACTTTAATTAAGGTATGGTTGCCCGTGGAGTCAAGTCTCCTGGTGGAACAAGTGGATTGGCTTTGGGTTGGTTAGAAACTGGTGTTGACAACGATCGAGATCTTGGAGGTGGCACTTCCACTCCTTCAGGTTTTGATGTCCCATGTGATCTCGGGATTGATCTCCATGGAGATCGGTCTCGACGATGATGTCGTCGACGATGCCGGCGCCTGCTCCGGGACCTTTGTCTTTCCAGAAGGGGCCAGTTGACCTGTTGGTGCTCTTGTAGGTCTTGGCGTGGAAACACGCTGACCCGGTGGCCGAGGTCTAGGCGGAGGGGCAGTTGATCCTGCAATCGCCAAAGGCGAAGGTGCCAGAACAGGAGCTGCCGAGATTAAGGGTGATGCATAGGCAACGGGGCATTGCCAGGTTGACCTGCCTGGCCAAGTGAAAACAGCCCGACAAGAAATTGAAAGTATAAGACATGACCACTGCTGCTGGTGTTAAAGATGCAGCTACAGTGATACATGCGATATTGATTGAATGCAAGAACAAACACTGTCAATGTCGGACCTGTACATGCAAAACATGCGTAGCAGAGCTCTGTAGAAATAGCAGAGCAACATGAAACTTGAACACTGTTTTGCGCAGCTGAATTGCTTAAGGCACGATGCTGGGAACCCTCTGTCCAGTTGTCGTAGACAGGCGATTTGCGACTGTCGCCTTTGTGGATGCCAGGCATACTTTGCAATCAGCGCATTGCGTGAATGATAATAGCCGGATGCTCTAGCTGTCCATGAACCAGCACTGTGAGATTGTCTGATGCGCCACATGTCCTCAGGACGATTGAAAGTAATGGACCTGCTGGGAGCTGAAATGGTGAAGCCTAGAAACTTGTGATCAGAGACTCAACTGGATGGTAGATCCATAGAACGACAGGTGCTTGAGTTCCTGGATTGATCGCAAGCTCTGATGTCGAGCACTGAAAAGAACCAATCTGTTGTCTACGCACCGACAAATGAACACTCGGACTGTTGAGAACTGAACATCTCAACTTGATGGAGTCCTCTGCTCCATTCGGATAACTGTACAATGGGAAGCAGATCTTTCACTCTGACAGATTTCACTTGTCTAGAGTCTCTAGAGTCTAGAGTGACGAGTGCGAGACTTTCCGGGCCAAGCATTCTCCATGTTGGGTTGCTTCTTGACAGAAGCTTTGATTTCTCCCGGATATCATCGATTCAGATACTGTTCTGTCAGGAATTCCAGGGATCATAAAATTTGCTTGGGCTTCTTGGTA